TCTCTCTCTCTCTCTCTCTCTCTCTCTCTCTCTCTCTCTCTCTCTCTCTCTCTCTCTCTCTCTCTCTCTCTCTCTCTCCGTGCAGTACACGCCGAAACGCAGAAGGATCTTCGCATCCCCGAGGTGACGCACAGTGTCTACTCAAAACCATCCACAACAATCCCGATCTCGCCATGCAGATACTCACGACCGTGTAGTGGTGGGTCCACGTGGACCCTGTACGCAGCGGCCTCGTCTAAGCGATCATTGAACTCCATTGCGACGTTGGAAACCAGAAGATCGACGGGATCGGCGAGAACAACAATGCCGAAATCCCACCGATCGGGAATCGCATCCTCGACCTTCGTCGCGAAAGCAACAACGTGTGTGAGCAATCCGCGAGCGAAATCGTAACCGACAGTGAACCGCAGGCAAGCGTGGCTGTTCTCATCTGCCTCGAAGTTCCTCACTTCATGACGTGTGACCGTGTGCATGAAGTCGAACACCCGTCCGCAGTCCCTATCTCAGCGATGTCTCATTTCGTAGAAAACAACCCTCCACCCCGCTATCCGCCCTTTCAGCGCGACGACGACGCCCATACTCTCCCGCAACACGCTGCACCCCTGGGGACAACACCGTCCGCAAGACTGCCACTCATCGTTGGTTTGCGCACCTTTCCCCGTATGCGCATCGCCCTTCACCCACAATTGGTTAACGGGGACCCCCACTTTTCGGCCTTAGGTAACGATGAATGATCCTCAAATTAGGGTTTCGGGGTCAAATTTTAATTTTTTTTTTTTGGTATTTTTTTTATAATGTGGTAGTAAGAAGTGCACTCTATACGTTGGTGTGAAGTTTGCTTGGGATGGCCTTATGGTTTTATTATAAATTGAGGTGAAAAATGGGGGGTCGGTTAACCTTTTCTCCCTTCACCGCCCCGCGAAGAATAAGAGGACCGCTTTCACCGCAATGACCACCCCAACCGTCCGCCACGCGTCCACGGTTTGCAAACCGGCGAAGGTATGTGCAACGCCTTTCACCGCCCGTGCTGCACAAGTCGACCAACTCGTTTGCGATGACCAGCACGACCACCCCACTCCCCCGACCATTGCATAGTCGCATAATGCTACCAATCATCATCCGTTGTCTCTGTTTTTATAGGCGTGAATGGAGGTGATTTAAACCACACCCATGCATCACTTTACGGATCGCGTGCAAATGAACGGACCGCCAAAAAAAAAAAAAAGGACAAGTCGGAAGAAAAAAAAAATAGAAAACAGAAAAGGGAAAAAAACTCCTCAAATTCGATATAAAGAAACTGTCCACATCACTCAGGGAGCGGGATCGTCACTGCGGCTAGAGGTGAAATTGCATCATTAATATATCGTTTTTTTTTGGACAACGACGAAAGTCATCGCTAGCGGGACAACGCCGACGCTATCTTGAGCAGAGCGTCGCAAAGCATCCGCTGGCCGGTGTCCAGCACCTCGCATTGCCTTTCTTGCGTCATCGCTTCGCGTTCCATTATGTTGCATTGTCGCTGAAGCACCTCATATTGTCGTTTGCTTGCGCGGTCCACGGAATCGGCGACGATGGTGGAGTGGGTCTTCATGACATCAGTCACAGAGTCGAACGCGAGCTGGCGGGCATTCTTCCTCTTCCCGTGGGGTGGGGAACCTGACGACTGGGTGCCACACCCATCACTGCCTTTACCTTCACCGTTTTCACTGGCGGATGTCTCGCCTGTGACCACTGGCCCGTGGACATGGCTTTGCTCGCCTTGTTGGAACTGTTGAGGTTGGGGGATGCCTGAGTCCGCCAGATTTGGCGGATGTATAGCCTGGTTGCCCTACTGCATCTCGTCAATGGCGTCACACACCATCCGGTCCATCGTGAACTTGTACCCCAGCTGCTTGCGCTGCCTTGCCATCAGTGTGAAGAAGGATTGCACACCCGACTCCTTGTCCCTCTCAAACACTTTCTTGTAATGGCCAATCACGTTCTCCCACCTCTTCATGCACGAGTCCCAGTCTCGCATGACACCTTGCTGCCTCATCCAGTTTGATATGTCTGTCCACTTCCACTCTTTCGTCTTCATCTGCGCGAAGTTACTGCCAGCATTCACGAGGTAGTCCTCCTGATCCCTCTTGCACCGCACAAAACGAGGAATTCGTTCAGATCCCACAACCCCCTCTTGTTCCCACCCCCCCGCTCGCCACCTTTCTTGGCCTTACCTTTCCCACGACCCTTGCTTGATTTTTCCTTGCCCCCACGAGTTGTCACTTCTTGAACATTGTCCTCCTCCTCATCATCACTATCCGAGTCATCTTTGTCGTCGCAATCGACTTTACCCTCTTCCTCACAACCCACATTCCCGACGCCGCTCCGTTCATCATTGCCGGTCGCACGCATGTTTGACACTCGCGCTATGATTTGTTCAATGATAGACGGGGATTCCGCAGCCGTTGTCCCACCCATTACACCCCTCTGCACGCTATCCGCAGCAGCCGCACCAAAGTCCTTCATCGCCACTTCTTGTTGTCGATTCATTGACGCACTGGACAATCCCTTCGTAGGCACGTTCGTTGCAACTGTCATGGGACGGCGGCCATCGCTGTTGTGGTCAACGATCAGCGTCCTCGAGACGTGCATGCTGCATGAAAGGGATAAATGAAGATGAGGAGGATGTCTGCCCCCTTCGTGAACTTCGTCGAGGAGCGCGGACATGGGCCCAAAGGAACCAGCACGACGGTGAGGTATCCCCACCGTGTCGTAAGAAGTTTGCGTCGACCCCCATCCAAGTGGAAGAGTCGATGGAGGTGGTTTCCAAAGATTATCGTCTGGCAGGGGGTGTTGCCAAGGGGGGAGATGCGAGTACAACGTCGGGTTAAAACGATTATCCCGCACATCCGTCCTGGTGGTAAAGCCTGCCCCTTCGATCCCGTGCTCACGCCCCGCCCCTAAAAGATAATCCCGTATCGACTTTCCTGCACCTACGAACCTAACCTTCTTCTTCGACGACTTCGGCCGACACTGGACTGTCGCCTGCCTGCCTAGCTGCCACAACTGGATGACAAGAACGGCCAGCAAGGCGAACAGGAGGAGAGCGAGGACAACAGTCTTCCTCAACAGGTCTGCCATATGCACGTGCATCGTCAGGACGCGACAACAGGGCAAAAGAGGGAGACCGCAATGGACAACACACACAACCACCATGATCGTGGACTTTATGCTGCGCACATGACTCACTACTGCCATGCCGGAGTACACACACAACCGCATTGGGATGCTGTGACGTGCCCGTTTGCTCCTTTGCACACCAACGGTCATGCAAGGAAACACAGCACTGACGCATCGCGCCCGGGGCCCGGTGGTTCGAATTTGAAAAAGCACACTACCGTTCCCCGCAACACAGCCTCCGCCCTGTAACGGTCAGCACAGTGACCCTTCGCTGCCGAAACTGGCACCTCGGGTTCCCGTTGGTACCGGCCCCGGTTCCACACTCCCGCTGCGAACGTCAGACAAAAGCTGGTTTCTACCAGGAACAGTTTTGCCTCCGTCGAGAGAAGGACGAAAACACCTGAAAACCGCCATTCACGCGTCCCGAAGGGCGAAACCCTTGCACCCCAAGTGACCTCCTGAGGCTCCCTTTCGATTTCGGTCGATTTGCCTGGGCCACACTTCCGTTTCAAGGGCGGACACTTGGCCGTGGGGATGTGGAAACAATTAGCGACTTCAAGGGTGCGTGACTAGGGCGGGGTCGAAGGACGCTTCCTTGAAAAATAACAATTTCCAAGTGGTGTCGAACGAGACCCACAGTGGCGGTTTGCGGGCACAGTTTTAGAAACGTTGCTCATTTTTTGTACATATAACACAATTTATACAAAGCGTCCCCGACATGGGGTCAACACATAATCCCTCCCACAAGCCTAAGTTCACTTTTTTCTAGTTCTTTGTACTTTTATTTTCCTTCCTTAGTCCAAGTCAATCTCTTCCCTGAGTTATGCAGTCAGGGTAATGATTGAGTCAATTGACCTTGCTTTAAGCACCAACTCTTTTCAGTCCCTTTTCCGGACTTGCCTCCTTTCAATTTCTCAAGTGTTTTTTCCTTCCGTTCTTGGCGGCACAAGGGACCGGCTGCCCTCCCCTTGCTTACTTTCTCCACCAAGTGAGGGCAGTTTCCTTTCACGGTTCGTTTCATGACAATGTAACAAGTGAGTGGGGGAAGGTTAGTTATACGTCAAGAGGGGAGACGGGGAAGGGATAAAGCCAATGTTTTTTAGAGTGTGAAAGAGGGGTGTTTCCTTTGTTGATGTTTGCACTTTGGTCTCGTATAATTTGTTCTTAAAAATTTTGATGAAATTCACGCCGCAATTGCTAACAAAAACGACGAATATTTGGGGCCCCGTTAACCGTCTCTCACGAAGGGGAGAGGGAGTTGGTGGCGAAGAAAAAACAAGACTAGAGAAAGAAGGGGAGAGAGGCTATGTGACACCCGCGGCCCACACCCGCGGGCTAGGCCGCGGGCATTGCGGCCTCTGCGACCGAAAAAGTCGGTCGCGGCCGCCGCCTATGAGACCCATTCCGCGGCCTGTTTTTTTAATATATTTTTTGTACCCCTAAAATTACGTTAAAAAAAAAAAAAATATAGGGGTGTAGGGTTTGGAAAACCCTACAATCCTATGTTTTTTATTCCAGAATTCGACTTCGTTTAAGATTTTAACCCTAGGCCCCCTTTGGCCTTGGGTTGGATCACCGATGGCCAGGCTACTCTATTGATGACGTTCAACAGGTCACCATTACCTCTCCATAGTAGGGCCACTCGTTGCCTTTTAAGCGATCGGATGACCTCCTTGTTGAGGGTTCAAATTGCAGATTTATACCACAAGGCCGCAAGTATTAGACTGTTGATCGCGAGTGCTCTGCCGATAAGGGAGGTGTGCCGGTCTTTCCAATTAACTAATTTTTCGAGAGCAGGCTTTAGGATCCTCTCATCATTTGATGCGGGTTTGCCCAATGCCGTCAACCTAATTCCAAGCACTCTAACCGGGGCCGTGTTGGGGAGTCATTTAACCCGCGGTAACTTCAGTGGGCGCACCCCTCGATGGTGGTTCCACCACCCCAAGGTCTTATTTCCCCAGTTGACATCCGTGTCCGAGACTGATGTATATTGGTCGAATATCTCATAATCTCTGACATGTTTGTTGCAGTGGCATCTATCATAAGAGTCAAGTCGTCCGCAAACATCGAGCAAACAGGAATCGCGTCTTCCGGAATTGCGAAGATCTGCAGTATCCTCAAATCTTTATTGTCACGGAGGTTTGTTGCCAGCGCTTCCATCATGATGATGAAGACGAAGAGTGCCAAAGGATTCCCTTGGGGAACCGATCGTTGCAGCGGAAAAGCCGGCGGTATCCTAACATTGACTTGGACACACGTAGTGGCGTTGTGATGTAGTACTTCAGTCCATTAACGGAATATTGGTCCGATGTTCATTTTTTTCATACATTTGTCTAAAAATAGCCAATTTACGTGGTCATACGCTTTTTCAAAATCAATGAAGACAATCGCCGCATTCTGCTTGTCTTGCCTTGTTAGTTTAAGAAGTTCATTAACCAGGCGGATAGTATCCCGAATCCTGCGTCCTTTAACAAAGACGGTCTGCGTTGGATGAATAATGTCTTCTTGAAACGGGATTAGACGGTTCGCCAGAACTTTTGCGAGCATTTTATAGACCACTGTAAGCAGCACTATTGGTCGGTAGTTTCTAAAATCCATTTTGTCCTTTTTTTTGTGTAACAAAGTAAGAATTCCTTGCCCCACCAACACCCTCATCTGTCCAGTGTCCCACACATGGTGAGAAAAAATCATGACGTCCGCGGTCATGTGAGTCTAGAAGGTCTCCCAAAATTCCTTGGGAAATTCATCTATGACCGGGGTCTTCACTTCATCCATCTGCATCATCGTCGTCTAGAGTTCCTCCTTAGACAGGGGACGATCCAAATCCGTGTGTTGTTGGCCTGTCATGGTCTTTTCCAGCAGTTTCAAGAAGTCTTCAATTTCCTTCTCCCTAACGTTCCTCTCCCGCTGAGCACATCTGGAGGTGAACAGGTCCTTGAAGAAGGACCTAGCTATCTGTAGGCAGTGGGGGAAGGAGGTGGCAATATCTTGGTGTCCGGTCTGCGGGTCGTATAGCGCTTCTACAGTTGTTTTGTGTGACCGTGCTCGGTCCATACTGAAGAAATTTTTGTCCATTGTACCTTCCGTTTGTAGCTTTGTCAGTCTTCCTCTTATCTGTGTTCCTTCCCAACGTTGTGCGGCAAAGGTCTGGAGTCGTCGTTGTAGCCTTTGAATTTCTCAAGTGGGTCTTTTTCTCGATTTTTTCAGTTCCTACTTCATTTTTGGTAAGCCGGGGTGTTTTTCCATGCCCCGATGCTTTTTCGGCCTTGCATCTGGCTGAGATCCAAGGCCAACAATATTCTTTTTCACCCGCAAGTAGTCCTTGCTTCAAATTTGAGCCCCTAAGCTTAGTTTTTAAGTATTTGATGCATCTGACCCTCTATTTGGGCCAAATGCACGGTTTTGTTTTTTTTTGTTCTAGACTTTTGTTTTTATCCATTTTGGGTTGCCAACTCATTATAGAGTTGGCCGTTTGGGTTGGCCTCATAAAAAACGGCCATGTTCCCTCCTCCGCGGATCAGAATCTCAGATTCATGGCCCAAAAGAAGACCGATCATTTTCTTTTTGTATTTTCTCTCAGTTTTTCTCTTTTTAATTCATATTTTGTAGAGACATTGCCCCAAGGGTCATATCTTTGCAATCCGGCTTGCCCTCCACTAAATCTAGAGGGATGAGGTCAGGGACCTGCCAGTCCCTACTGCGCTTGTCCCAATAGGCTGGCAGATTCTTCTCCACTCTTTTCTCCCCCTTTGTCTCATTCCTCCTCCATTTTCTTTAATTTTTTTTTTTTTTTCCTGTATTTCTGATGTGACAAGTGTAAGGTGGCTGTTGAGTATTTTTTTAGGCCATGGATCCTTATCTATGGCTAGATTCAGACTTAGCAGTTGACGGTTATATCTCGGATTACAATAATGACACGCCCATGCTCATGGGGGGTTCCATTTTGTCTCCGTTAATCTCAATTTTAAGCCCCTTTGATCCAATTTTCTTTTGACCACCTTTTTTCTGTGTTGAGCCTCTTGGGGCTTTATTTTCTCATGCCTAGCTGGTCCGAGATATCTCGGACTGCTGGGTAGCCCTTCCATCCTCATTATTTATTTATTTTTTCTCTCATGGTTGTCTCCCACTTGATCCCACGAGTGCAAACATTAATATTTTTCACCGTCTAGATCTTGATCTCGATGGTGCCGTTTGCTTTGCGTGACCATTCCTCACGTTGGCTCATGGTTTGCTTGGGACATCTCAAGTCTCCGTCACTCCCCCCGTACTAGTTTCATTTTTTTGTCCTGCATGTAACCCCGTTGGTGCATGTCTCATTTTTTCTAGGTAGCATGGGTTATCTGGTCGGATTATCTGGCTAGATGATCGGGGGGTAAGATCATCTAGAAATCGGGATGATTAAAAAAAAGCCTGAAAAAAAAAAAAAAAAAAAAAGTGATATTGCGCATGCAAAATACAATAGAACTACGTTCTTATTTCATGAAAAATCCAGCAACAAATTCAACTATTCAGTGACGCTTGGCTGGGGGGATCTCGAGGAGGTAAGATTGGAGGGATTAGAGAAAGTGGGGCAAAGGAAAAAAGCAAGGAAGGGCAGGAGACAGTGGTATACAGAGATTATTGCCTGTCTTTTCTGAACTGGACAAATGTGGACCCAGCAATCCCTCTTCGCCCAGTATCAGAGTTCCCAGATCCATTTCCCCCCTCTTCATTGTCATTAGTCCCTATAAGTTGGTATGGGTGTGACTGAGGGAGAGATGGGTGGATAAGCTA